CTGGCACTTGTGTTTAAAAACTATAATTAAGTTTGAGCAAAGAACTGGTGCTGGATACCTGCATCTTCCACTGTTGATTACTCCAGGCTGGCAGCTTCTGAATGGCAGCACAGAGGGATTTTGAGAGAGAGGCAGGAGCCGGCTACTGAAGGTGAAGTGCCCGTTTCTGTCACTAGAGGGGGATACAGAACAAGTTTTACATACACATATCAGCACATTAAAGACCAGTGTGGACAAGGCCTATGTGTTGTAGTGAGATATGGTGCTTACAGCAGCCTCTTTGCAAAAATAGGTGACTGTGTCCCCGGCTATAACTGATATCAGTAGTGTTCATCACCATTTGTGGCACAGAAGTGTTCTCATGCGTTATCGTGAATAGTTCTCTGGAAACATCCACTCAGTGTGCAGCAGCAGTCAGAAAAGCAAACAATGTTAGGAATCATTAAAAAAAGGATAGAGAATAAGACAGAGAATAGCTTATTGCCTCTGTATCAAGCCAGGGTACCCCCACATCTTGAATCCTGCAGACAGATGTGGTCACCTCATCTCAAAAAAAGATACATTGGCCTTGGAAAAAGTTCAGAAAAGGGCAACAAAAAAGATGAGGGGTTTGGAACGGCTGCCGTAAGAGGAGAGATTAAACAGACGGGGGCTTTTCAGCTCAGAAAAGAGGAGACTAAGGTGGGAAGGATATGATAGAGGTGTATAAGGCTATGTGAACACAGCAGAGCTGTTTCAGGATACCTCCGGTCTCCCGAAATAGCTATCTTCCCAGCAAGCCCGTTATTTCGAAATGTCATGGGCTCGCTATTCTGACGTCCCTGTAAATCTCATTCCACGAGGAGTGAGGGATGTTTGGGAACAGTGGGTTATTTCGAAATTTGGCACTGTGTAGACTGCACCAAATTACGAAATAAGCTCTTTTGAAATAAGATGCGTAATTTGCATAGGGCACATTGTGTAGCTTATTTCGAGGTAAGGCTGCTGTGTAGACACACCCTAAAATAATGACAGGTATGGAGAAAGTGAATAAGGAAAAGTTATTGACTTGTTCCCATAACATAAGAATGAGGGGTCATTACATGAAATGAATAGGGAGCAGGTTTAAAACAAACCTGTGGCGGCGCCTTGGGGTTTTCCCGTCTCCTGCACCCCCATAGTGGCACAGACAGACTCCACCAGCCAGTAGAACCGAGGGAGT